TAATCAAACCCCCAAAATACCTACGTTAACCGTTAAGGAGTTCCCTCAACTATTGGATTACTTCATCATCAGACCCTTATTGACAATTACACCCCACTCAGGTGTAAAATCCTCATCAATACAAATTAATCAAACCCAAACACAAAGTAGCTAGTGTTAATTTGAGGAGTTCCTCAACTATCGTACTACTTCATCATCAGACCCTTATTATCAATTACACCCCACTCAGGTGTAAAGTCCTCATCAATACAATAAATCAAACCCAAACACAAGGTAGCTACTGTTAACCGTTGAGGAGTTCCCTCAACTATCGTACTACTTCATCATCAGACCCTTATTGACAATTACACCCCACTCAGGTGTAAAGTCTTCATAAATACAAATTAATCAAACCCAAACACACGGTAGCTAGTGTTAACCTTTGAGGAGTTCCCTCAACTATCGTACTACTTCATCATCAGACCCTTATTGTCAATTACACCCCACTCAGGTGTAGAGTCCTCATTAATACAAATTAATCAAACCCAAACACAAAGTAGCTACTGTTAACCGTTAAGGAGTTCCCTCAACTATCGTACTACTTTATCATCAGACCCTTATTGACAATTACACCCCACTCAGGTGTAAAGTCCTCATCAATACAAATTAATCAAACCCAAACACAAGGTAGCTACTGTTAACCGTTAAGGAGTTCCCTCAACTATCGTACTACTTTATCATCAGACCCTTATTGACAATTACACCCCACTCAGGTGTAAAGTCCTCATCAAGACAAATTAATCAAACCCAAACACAAGGTAGCTACTGTTAACCGTTGAGGAGTTCCCTCAACTATCGTACTACTTCATCATCAGACCCTTATTGACAATTACACCCCACTCAGGTGTAAAGTTCCTCATCAATACAAATTAATCAAACCCAAACACAAGGTAGCTACTGTTAACCGTTAAGGAGTTTCCTCAACTATCGTACTACTTTATCATCAGACCCTTATTGACAATTACACTCCACTCAGGTGTAAAGTCCTCATAAATACAAATTAATCAAACCCAAACACAAGGTAGCTACTGTTAACCGTTGAGGAGTTCCCTCAACTATCGTACTACTTCATCATCAGACCCTTATTGACAATTACACTCCACTCAGGTGTAAAGTCCTCATAAATACAAATTAATCAAACCCAAACACAAGGTAGCTACTGTTAACCGTTGAGGAGTTCCTTCGACTATCGTACTACTTCATCATCAGCCTTATTGACAATTACATCCCACACAGGTGTAAAGTCCTCATCAATACAAATTAATCAAACCCAAACACAAGGTAGCTACTGTTAACCGTTGAGGAGTTCCCTCAACTGGCTCTCGGCTCCTTCATCAGATCGGCTCCAGACCTTTATCAGATTGTAGTGGTTTTTAATACTTAATGAAAAAATTAACAAATGCTCTAGTCACCCCTATAATTTTTAAAATTTCCCCTCGGTTTCCCTGGTCTTCCATCATCAGATCCTGATTTCCTTATCATGGGACCATTCTGGAACTATCTCCTTTCTAACAAAAAAAGAATTTTCAAAATCGGTTTATAAACAACGGAGATATCGGCGAACAAACATAAAAAAAAAAAAAAAAAAGCATATATACGGTCGAATTGAGAACCTCCTCCTTTTTTTGAAGTCGGTTAAAAAGGTATAATCATGTTTGACTAATTGATGCAGGAATGGCTGCGTCGATTTTGATAATTTAATAAAAATCAATTTTTTGCTGCCTCGATGGCCGAGTGGTCGCAAGTGCGACTACCGGTCAAGGGGTCTCGGGTTCGATTCCCGGGTCGGGCAAAGTATTACTGGGTTTTTTAAAAGAAATCTCAGCGGTAGCACGGAGTCTGGAATTGTGCCCGGTTTATGGCAATAGGCTCACCCCCTATTACATGGGACTCATAACATAAATGAAAAGTGGGTGTTACATTGTACTGTGTTACATTGTAATGTGCACCTCTGCCTACCCCTTCGGGAATAAAAGGCGTGATGTTATGTGTCAATTTTTTTATGGGGTTAGTCGTAAGACGTATCACCGGATGGTAAGCAATCGGCTTCGCCCATGGACACCTGGAACACCAGAGACATTACAAATGTGTTACCTGCCTTTTGGGGATTAGGAATTTGATGATTGTTGGGGATGCAGGAATTGGATAGATTGGGGAAGAAGAAAACATTTACTAAATTTGGCTGCCCAACTGGCTGAGTGGTCGCATCGCAAGTGCGATTGCCGGTCAAGGGGTCTCGGGTTTGTTTCCGGGTCGGGCAAAGTGTAATACTTTAGCCATAAAAAAATCTCTGTAGTAGCTTGGAGTCTGCCCGGTATATGACAATAGGCTCACCCCCTATTACATGTAAATAGTGAAAAGTGTACCTACATTGTACAGTGGCATTAAGTGCCGTAATGTGCACTAATGCCTGCCCCGTCGAAGATAAAAGGCATGATATTATGTTATGATGACATTAGATAAATATTTCCATCTGTTTGTGCCTCATATCTTGAACTTACAACATAATTACTTCACTAGCCAGTAGTCCAGTACGCACGCGTCCTTACATGCCGACATTTACCATTTAGTTTAATTTATATCTGTTTAGTTGGCACACTTGGTGCAGTTTCATAACCTCATCTAATTGTTGTGGGAAGCTTGACTCCATTTCTGTACGGTGATACATTTTCTTTAAAATTATTTAGGTACTAGCTTTTGCCAGCGACTTCGCTCACATTCCCGTGGGTTAAGACTTTGACTGCCAATAAAAAACTGTTGAAGGTAAATCCTCCGCTAACGCCGGTCACCGGTGACCCCCATGGCGTTTAACGTGTTAAAAATGGACTATGTGTTAATCCAGACCATAATAAAGTCGCGGAGAACCTAACGGGTAACCGGGGGCTCCGGCTCGACGTGCAGGAGAAGGAACGGGGTGGTTTTTAGTCAGTAAGAGTCTGACACTCCCTTCTGCCTCACCCAGGCGGGAGCAGTCATTCGATGATTTTCCACCAATAAAAAGAAGACCATAATCTACCTCTATTCTGAATTTCATCACAATCCTTTTAGACTTTTTGACGTGAAGGGGAACAAACGAAGATACACACAATTTATAATATCAGTAGGACAGAGGATTTGTTAGACACATAGTTAGATTTTAGTCTGCAGTTTGAGGTAAAAGATTTTTCTCGATTAATTAGGTTCTGATTCTATACGAATACCGGTATAAAAAGTAGATGATAGAAATTTAAATGAAATAGATAGGTAGCCCATAGATAAAATTTTTTTCTAGGTGGCTTTTGCTCGACATGTTAATAAACTTAAAAAAGCAATAAGTTTATTAAACTTCCATTACATTTTTAATCCATATTTATAAGTGTTTTGTTTTATTTTTTCACCAAAAATATTGATATTACATACGTTAATAAAATAACGTTATCTTTGACTTTTTTACTATAGAAATGTCAAATATTGGCGGGAATGTTTTGACATATCGCGCCATCTTTAATTTAGCCATGTGGATTTTTTATTGTTGACTTGGCATCCAATTTAGTTGAGTTTATATTCTATTAGATGTATGTAATTCAAAGTTTCTGTTTTTAATCTAAACTTTACCAGGGGCATCTTAGATTATAATCTTTTCTTCACATTTTATACAACCATTCTTGCATAACATTCATATACGCACGCCTTTATATATTTTTTAAACATAGTTTTTTATGCGTTTGACTGTGTCCTTGACAACACATTTGCATGCGGTCAAAATTAATTAACTATTTAAACAATGGTAATAATTAAACAATTTTGAAGACATAGGTATATTTCGAATTGGAAAATTTTACCTAGTCTCTGGTGTTTAATACGTAGTTAATAAATAAATGCTATATCGATTTTTGCGATGCAAAATGAGAAATGGCGGTCGAGGAAAAGTTTTATTTACGTCAAAGCAAACACGTCTTATTTTCTATATTTACTTAAGTTCAAGTAAATAATATAATAAAGCTGAAGAGTTCATTTGCTTTATTTAAACCTTTAAACGAACCATGGGAGCGAAGTTACGAGTTAGACCATAGATAAACATACCCATGCAACAGGTCTGACCTTTTTGCAAAATCATTTGACATTACACAGAAACCTAGTCTCTGGTATTTGATCAGCCATGCATTCTAAATACGAATCCATGACTAAGAATTATAATTAATTGTAACCTTGCTATTATATTTAAATAATTGACCCCATTCTTGGCCACATTTTTCTCTGATTTATTTCTAGATAACGTTTAAATAAAGTGGCTACTTAGATGATTAATTTAACTCGCCAACAAGCGGAAGTCAAATATATCCTAGTTTTTAACCTTGAATACCTTTACATTATACTCATAAAAACTAATCACGCATTTGGAATGAGGCGTGGCGACCATAAAAACCTTCATGTATTTAAAAAGTTATTATTGACATTATTGGCTGTAGGAAGTCGGTGCCTTTGCCTTTTTTGTAGCCACTGTCAATGAGTAATCAAATTGTCTTTGTTATTTAGTGTTGGGAAACTGTATCAATAAAGTTATCGATGTTATTTAATAAAAATGTCGATAAGTTACGCCATTGAATGTTACCGTGCTAAGGCCGACAGCTTAAAAATTGAACTTGACATTTGGATTCGAATAATAGCACCGATTATCTCGTATTTGTTTTAAATTATCAAAGTAACTACCGATTCGATTCGAACGATTTTTTTTATTGTTTTAAGAGATTCGTGACTTACTGAATCGTTGCTTCTGAGCATTTTGAAGCAATATATTGTTTGAATATTTGTACATAATGTATGTATGATAGAGATGAAAGGAAACAACGAAATGTATAAAATTACTATTTCATTTATTCACACATCCTCGCCTCAGTTTAGCCTGTATTTTTTTATATAATTTATTTACAAAATCCAAAACATTGAGTATTATTTTTTTGGTATCTAAATTTTATCACAGTTTACCATGTGTGTCCGTGGAGTCCATGAGCGTAAGCGACGGGGGCAGCAGCGTGGGCTACACCGTAGGGGGCGGCGTGGGCAATGCCGAAGGAAGCGTGCACCACGGGGGCGGGGTGGGACTGGGATAGGGACTGGCTAACTACAGTCTTGCTGGCAGCGAGCGCAGGCGCGGAGTAGGCCACGGCGGGGGCAGCACCGTAGGCGACGCCATGGGCGGCACCGTAGGCAACACCGTGAGCGGCACCGTACGCGAGAGCGGCGGGGGCAGCGGCGACGTGACCAGCGAGCTGCTTAGCGAGCACGGGGGCTGCGCCAGCGGCGGCACCGTCCAACTGAGCCTCAGCGGTCTTCACAGCGTCGACCGCTTGCCAAGAGTGGTCTTCAGCGGCGTTGATGGCCTGTCCGTGGAGCTCGGAGGCCTGGTCATGGTATTCACGGGCGGCATCAGCGGCGGCGCGGACATGGTCGGCAGCTTCAACATGGGCGTCGATGGCGGCACCAGCGAGGTCTCCGGGAGAGATGGTGGGGAGAGCGGGACCAGCGACGTGAGCGGCGTGGGCAACAGCCACGGGGGCAGCGACGTGGGCGGCGTGGGCTACAGCCAGGGGGGCGGTAGCCACAGCCAGGGGGGCGGCTAGGGCGTACGGAGCCGCATGGGCTGCCGCAAGACCGGCGTGACCAAGAAGGCCATGGCCGTAAGATGCTCCCAGCAGACCGGAGGGCGCGGCTGCGGCGCAGGCGAGGACGGCGGCGACAATCTGCGAAACAAATCCAATTAAAACATCGATAACATCACCAGGAATCCCTATCGATATCGGTAACACTCGTGTCACGTCACTATTCACAGACACTTCACGCAAGCACTAATTTGTAATTTTATTTTCGTATTTGATTTAGAAGCACTATGAGTGTAAGTAAGTTATTGTAGTGAACCCACCAGAACTCTCATCGTGCACTTCTGTGTTAGACTGCTCGAAGGCTACTGACTGCTCTCGATTGGGCGCCGCTGGTTTTTATACCAATGCACGTTGGCGTTGCTCTGTACGTAAAAAAAGTAAGTGGCCAGTATTCAAGGGCGCGAAGGGTGAATAGGAAGCGGTACATTTTTGACTGATAGATTCGTATGTCGAGGAAATGGCCAACTGCTTTTTAAAATTTAAAATTGGATCGCGTTCCAAGTGCATTTGATTAAATTTTAAATTAATGTCAACGATGAAATTGATTTTTATTTCGTAACATTGTTATTTTTACTGCATTTTCGTACGAAAAATCATAAAATTATACTGTTTTATTTACTGTATTCAATTCTTATTACAATTATTAGTATGGGTACTAGGTTGCGATTGCGAGTAGGTTAACTTAATCTAAGTCTTTTATAAGTGTTATTTTTGTACTCAATAATCGGGGTGTCGTTTCGTTTTAAGAAAAAACCCTGTAAATAAATAGAGATAAAAAAGCAAGCGTTTCCACGACTACAATCCTAAGCTTTAGCTTTGTTACTGAAGATAAATTAAGTAATAAAACATTTCTCATTTAAAATTATGTAAATATCAATCAAGATTGCGATATATTCTATAATTCATAATAATCCATTTTAATAATGTTATAGTATTTCAACATTGTAGGTATTCTAAAATTAATTTATTACTTAAAAAAATCTAAGATCTTACGTATTCAAAAAAGGCTAAATGTAATTAACCTACCTATATTATGTACCCATGTTTGCAAACGATTAAATGAATTTGAATTTGAATTTGAATTTAAATTTATTACTTAATTATGTCTCTTTAAGTACTCTAATTAATCTTTTTTAATCCCAAGGAGTAGGCAGAGTTGCACATTACGGCACTTAATGCCACTGCACAATGTAAAACCCCATTTTCACTATTTATGTTATGAGTCCCATGTAGTAGGGGTGAGCCTATTGCCATATACCGGGTACAATTCCAGACCCCGTGCTACTATTGAGATTTTTGAAAACCCAGTAACAATTTGCCCGATCCGAAGCTTCTTGCCCGGCAGTCGCACTTGCGACCACTCGGCCAACGAGGCTGTCTAATTTAAACTCGTGAATAATTTAGACATATTTTCTATACGATAAATGTGTTATAAGACCTATGTTTAAATTAAGTTATGTATGTTACATATGTACCGTCTTCTTTTCGTTTTTATTACCCCTATAAAAATAAAAATCGTAATAATAATTTGCCGACGCCGATTCGGAGTCGCGGAGAACCTAACGGGTTACCGGGGCTCCGGCTCGATGTGCAGGAGAAGGAACGGGGTGGTTTTTAGTCAGTAAGAGTCTGATACTCCCTCTCGCCTCACCCAGGCGGGAGCAGCCATTCGATGATTTTCCCCCCTTGAAAAATAAACAAGTTGAATACAACGGTATAATATGATGTAAATATGTAGGTATGTATGTATGTGTTTCAAATCTAACAATAATTGTTTTAAGTGCTGTCGGTTTGTAGTTCATTGCCATGAGGTTTAATTAACACATTTTCTCTCTTATGAACTTGCAATCATTGTGTTTGTATGTCTGTGTTAAAATGCATGTAAAGTTATCGTGCTTCCGAAAATGTAAGTATTGAAAATCATCCAATGATTTCTCCCGTCTTGAATAAGGCGGGAGTGTCAGACTCTTACTGACTAAATTGCACCCCGTTCCTCCTCCTGTACGTCGAGCCGGAGCCCCGGTAACCCGTTAAGTCTTCCGCAGCTCCGTATCGGCATCAGCCCTATTGGGCCCCATCTGTGGTGGTCTGATGGCTCTTTGAGGCGCGGAACGCGACGCTCCGTACGCTCGGGTCCTGGATAGAGCTGGAGCCTCGGTAAACGACTAGTCAAGCTCAATCGCGGTAGGAACCCCTTTGTGTCGGCTTCGGGGCTTGAGTAGTTACAAGCTAGGTACGGGTACTCAGAAATCTCGTGTTTGATGCGTCAATATGAAGTTATATTCAAGATCTTTGAAAGCTAAATATTTTAAGGGATTTCTCAGTCACGAAATGTCGTCACTAAAAGCGCTGAGTCTAGAATTGTGTCTGATGTGTGTTATTAGACTCACCCCCTATTACATGGGACTCATAACATAAATAGTAAAAAGTATTGTATACTTAACTGTGGCCCGCGACTTGGTCCGTGTAGTTTATTTGTTTTTAGGACATAACTTTTTTGTTTGTATATTATATAGGTATTTCGAAATAAAAGTACCCTATGTTTCTCCTTAGTATATCAGCTACTTGCCAATAAAAGTCCCGTCGAAATCGGCCCAGCCATTTCAGAGATTAACCCGAACAAATAGACAGACAGTTAAAAATATAAAAAAAACAGTTATTTCAATATTAGAAACAGACATTTTAATTTTATTTATCTGTATCGATGTGCACCTCCGCCGACCTGTATATTAAAATAACAGATCATTGACATATAATTGAATGAAGTTACATACAACTGGATCCTCGTAAAATTATCATAATATGTTAATGTTATGACTTCATATGCATATCTTAGCGGCATGAATGAGAGATGCTATATTATTGCGTGTTTCACGTGCGAAACAAGATATACATACATACATATATACATAACTTCACGCCTGTCTCCCATGGGGGTAGGCAGAGACTATGGAATGCCAATTACTACGATTCCTACATACCTCTTTCGCTTCATCAACAGTCATCAATCTTTTCATGCATGCTCGTCGGTTAAGGATACTTTTAATTTGGCCCTTCTTTAATATATCGACAATCTAGCCACTATATGTCCGTCTAGGGCGCCCTCTACCGACGGCCCCATTCATATCCGCTCTGTATACTTCTTTCGTTACTCTACTCTCATCCATCCTTTCTACATGTCCAAACCAGCGTAACATTCCCTTTTCAATCCTTGTCACTACATCATCTTTCAATCTACACTTTTCTTTAATAACACTATTTTTTTATCTATAATAGTCCACTATTTTCTCCTCGCGGCTATGCCCGCGTATTCCTGTGTTATCCCATGGGAGCATTTAATTGGGATAAAAGGCCTTTGCCGGTGAGGAGTTTACGGGTAAAAGTTACTAGCTTTTACCCGCGGCTTCGCTCGCGTCACAAAAGGATAAAAAGTAGCCTATGTGACATATACCAATACACACAGTGCCATCTATACCAATAATTTTGTTTTTCCTCGAGAATATCAAATTTTTCCGGGATAAAAGTAACCTATTATTTAATCCAGACTTCTAGCTTCACGTCTGCAAAAATTCAAAGCAATCGGTTTAGTAGTTACGGCGTGAAAGTGGAACAAACAAACAAACTCACTTTCCGATTTATAATATTAGTAAGGATAATAAGATAAAATTCCAAATTCTTGGTATGAAATTTCCTGTCTAAATTGGCAATTCCATAGATAAAGTAAATACGCTACTTAATCACACATTACATTTAATATCCGCCTTGACATTCCATGAGGACAATTCGCCAACGTCTCGAGTGGATTTTCCAAATTGGATCTTTCATATAAATAAAAAAAATAACGAATGCAAGTAAATATCTGTGAAGTCATATACAAACACATACATAAGTACATTGGTCACATATATTTCTTTCATAGAACGGTAGTAGAGATGCATTCATTCATTGAATGATGTTAATAACATAACATAACATCACGCCTTTTATCCCCGAAGGGGTAGGCAAAGGTGCAGATTACGGCACTTAATACCACTGTACAATGTAACACCCACTTTTCACTATTTATGTTATGAGTTGGACTTTGTAAATCTGTTATCAGTAAAAATGAAACCTTTTATAATTTTTTTTTTTTAAGTATTGATTTTAATCATTATTGTTACCACCTTATTAGGTCTTAATATATTTATTACTCCCGTTTTAAGTCTATTTTTTTGTGTATAACTTTGTTTTTTGTGCAAAACAAATGCTTTTTTTCTTTCGAATAATCAAAGTCAAAGTCAAAGTATTTATTTTAATTAAACCATAATTTGGTACATTTGAAATGTCAACAATGTTGTCTAATAATGTTTTTTGAATCGTTACTAGAACATCACGATTCAACAGCTTAAGATCAACTAGACACCTTATTTATTAGATTCATACGAGCGAGAAAAATCTAAGATTTAGTTAGTCTTTTAGCATTTAACTTAGGTATACTATAACCCTTCCACATTGGTCAATAAGTACATTAGAATAACCGGTCCAAACCGGTTATTACAGGATATTAGCCAACCGAGAGAGAGGTACGGAATTGTATGTTAAACCCGTGAACTTTACCTTAAATAATATATATGTGCTATGTACTTAGGGGTCGTACACAAAATGCGATGCTATGCGAATTCGAAACGCAAAAAATTACGATGCTAATAGATGCCTCATTTTTATTTTAATGTCCGTCTGGTAGATTATTTTAAATTATTAGACATTTTTTATTTTCTTACAGAAACGAATACTTTCGACGATATATTGATTGCGTGACGTCACTTCTATGTACATTTTATACGTAGAAATGACGTTTTAGACCACCCCTAAACTTTGATTCGTTTTATCTAAGTATTGTTCTACTATACGACAAAATAAAAAATAAGCTTCTAATATTTTTTCATTACCTAACTTACAGACTAATTAGTTAATTAATTTTTATACCCTGTCATCATCCCAATTATATCACACGTATTTTCAAGTGACGTCACTAAAGTACATAAGACTACCTACCGCAAGTAATTCATTAATATATTCAAGTAAATATAATCTAGAATATTTGCAATGCATACAGGATAAAATACGAAATTGAATGCTGTAGGAAAACCACAATGTTTGTTTAAAACACCGCGAAATAGATAAACGTAAATTTTTGACAAATCGCATATAAACGAAACGTCGATAATTAATTTGTGTGGGGAATGTCCCGATGTATTAACATGCTGTTTAATATTGTATTCCGTATTTATAT